AGGTGGAATACTTCATCAATAAGGGTACCTGATCTCAAAACAGGTGAAGTGGAGACCAAAGTGAGGCCCAAATTTTACCTGTACAATGACCATTTGTATATCTAACCCTGAATTGTACCTTACATCTTTAAAATAAAAATAAAAATAGATATGCTAAATGAATTAGCTTATTTAGATAAGCTAGATAATCTTATAACCATTAAATTATATTAATAATCAAATCTCCTGAAAAGAAATCTCTACACCCAGTTTTGCCTGAGAATTCTACCTAACATGTTAAGAGGAATTAGTCTCATTTTTACACAAACTCTTCCAGAAAAAAAAAGAGGAGGAACTTTTCCCAACTAACATTTTGTAAGGCCAGTTCACACTGACTCTAATATCAAAACCAAAGACAGTATAAAAATAGAAAATCACAATATCTCTCATGAATTTAGATGCAAACATCAACAAATGATTTACAAATTGAATACAGCAATGAATAAAAGAATTAGGTACCACAATAAACTGAAATTTATGGGGGAACTCTGTACTATATTTTGTAACTCCCTGTGAATTTATAATAATTTCAGAATTAAGTTTTTAAAACTATATTACTAAAGAAAAATTATTCCATAACATACAGAATATTTTTGAATGGGCATGACTGGAAGATCAGTCACAAGATTCACTGCATAATTCATTAGAGAATATGAATTGCAGCTGACCCTTGAACAACACAGGTTTGAACTGCATGAGTTCACTTATAACAGATTTTTTTTTCAGTAAGTTATACCGAATGTGCCAGCTTCTCCTGCCTCCCCTTGCAACTTTTCCACATCTTCCTCCTCTACTACCCAAGACAGCAAGACCAAACTCTCTTCCTCCTCCTCAGCCTCCTCAATGTAAAGACAATGAGGATAAAGACCTGCAAAATGACCCACTTGCACTTAACGAATATTTTCTCTTCCTTTGATATTTTTAATAACATTTTTTCTCTAGCTTTCTTTAACCTTTCAATATAGAATACATATGACATCCCAAATCTGTTAATCAACTGTTTATATTATCAGTAAGTCAACAGTAGGCTATGGTAGTTAAGTTTTGGGTGAGTCAAAAGTTACACAAAGTTTTTCCATTGTAAGGAGGTTGGGACCCCTAATCCCACATTGCTCAAGGGTCAACTGTATTTACTTACCTAAGGTAAAGTTATAGCCTTAACAAGGATGTAGAGGGAAACTGACATTACTATTATTATTTTTAGATAGGAAAATAAAGTCTATTTAGAAAGTAAATTAGAGATCCATCTCCCCAAGATAGGAAAGAGGGCCAAAGGTAGGCAGCCATACATTAAAGAGCACACTGCCACACCAGAGTTTAGTAAAGCACTAGCTGGCATTAATTACTAAGGATGTAGAAATGATACTGAGTATGAAAGTTAGAAAAAGGATTCAGAAATAATTCTTAGTTATCAATGTTGTGCCACGATGGAAATTCTGGTGCCACAGATGGATTTAAGGACTAGTCGTGAAGGCTGGGGAAAGAAGCCAGAAAAAAATTATTTAAATTTTGTACATCCTGAGATTCAGGTGACAGGATCTGTATAAGGATATACACTAGGCAGCTGGATATGAGAGCTAGTGTGGAGATGAAGATTAAGGTACAAAACAGGCACTGAATTCAGGGGAGGGCACGAGCACAAAGAAAGAACATTGAGAAAATATTAAAGATATTTATAATTTTTTTTTTAAAGTCTGAGTCTAGCATGTCGAGGCTGCAGTGGTCTACAATTTTATTATCTAAAATTAGGATGCTTGAAAGCTACCTTTTTTATTTCTTCATTTAATTTTGTTCAGAAATTATACTGTCTTTTTGAAATGTGTGTTAATTCTATTTATGGGACTTAGAACATCAACATTTCTTTGAAAATGGTCCCTGTATACCTGAAAAGTATACATGTGCTCTAATTTTTTCTCTTCGTCATACACTTGTATATTCACACCCTACACACATCAGACATCTCTGTCAACTATTTTTAGTCTCTGTGACTGATTTCTACCTTTATTTTTCATAAGTCCTTACTACTATATTTATTGAGTTGTTCTTTTCTAACTTTCTCAGTTGAAGCCATAACTCATAATACTTTTTCTTTTTCTTTTCAAACTTTCAGGATTTCTTAATAAGGCACTTAAATCTATATGTGTTCCCTTTAACTACAGTTTAGCTTTACCACATCAACTTTAAAGTGTAATACATTATTTATTTTTTTAGGCTGGGTGGCTCATGCCTGTAATCCCAGCATTTTGGGAGGCTGAGGCAAGAGGATTGCTTGAGCCCAGGAGTGCAAGACCAGTCGACACAACATAGTAAGTTCTTATCTCTACTAAATAAATAAATAAAATTAGCCAGGCGTGGTGTCACACACCTGTAGTCCCAGCTACTTGGGAGGCTGAGGCAGAAGGATAACCTAAGCCCAGGAAATCAAGGCTGAGATGAGCTATGATTGTGAAACTACATTCTAGCCTAGGTGACAGAGTGAGATGCCAACTAAAAAATAATAATAAGTAAATAAACAATTTTTTTAAATTGTGGTAAAATATACATAACAAAATTTGCCATTTTAGTCATTTTTAAGTGTCAAGTTTAATGGCATTAAGTACACACACATTTTTTTATTTTACAGCATTTTACTTTTTATTCCTAATTTAATGTTCTTGGTCAGAAAACAGAATCAATACTATAGCAAAGACTTCTATTTTTTGCTTTGATCAATATTTTTGAGAGTAGTGTGTTAAAATGGCCAATGGTACATTTAAGGATTTGTTTTTATTTAGTATAGTTCAAAAGGTACGTTATTAGTGAAATAAACATTGACAATTTTTATAATTCTTTATGTTAGTGCTTCATAAGTTTGAAAAACACCTCTTCATCCCTTTAGATATTTTTTATCTTAAACTCCTTTTGGTCTGTTTCTAAAATTGCAGCCCTAGCTCTTTTTTTGATTCTTGTTTCTGAGTCAGTCTCTTTCTATTCCTTTATTTTTAAATGAGGACAAAAGTAGCCTCTGAGAGTTGGCTTAGTACTACCAGGTAAGCCTCAGTGTTGCTGGAAGCTGGCCAAGCAAGATCAGCTAAGCCCTAGTATTCTTCATGGTGCTATAAAAAAAAAAATTTAAAAATCAGAACATAGGTCAGACCACAAAAGTGAAAAGTCTCCTTATTCTGCCTAGTAATTGCTGCTTCTTTACCAATTATAGCTTTAGCCTCAATCCATCATTCCTATCTTCTACATAACAAAATTATTAAGATACCCAATCCTAAAATTGTCCAACAGCAACAGAAGTGGAGGTTCACTGATACCCAGCTGAGACCCTCACTACATGTGACCAAAATCCTGAAATGAAATACCAGTACTTCTCATATATCCTATAAAAAGGGAAGACATGAAATGAATGTCTACTGCTACACTGTTCATAATATTTTATTTTACCAAACAATTAAAAAGCAATGTGCAAAAAGTTTGTCTGCTAGTCCATGCTGTGAAATCAAAATTTTAAAAAAATCTGTAATTGTTTTTACTTGTATAAAGAATTAAGCAACCAAAGAAAACTAATAAAACTTGATAATCAATACTGAGAGACAGAAGTAGGTGGAGGACATAGGAGAGTGAACCACAGTACCATCTTTCCCATGAATTTATTTCACGATAGTACTTTTCAGTGTGCCACTTTTTTATTGTTTTCTGATTTTTGAACTAAGTGTATATACTGCCTATTTAAAAAATTAAAGTATTCCCAATAAACTATCACAATACCTTTAGGGGGATAAGAAATAATATTATACCCATGAAATAAGAACAGAATGTTAATTAAAAAGATTTAGTCCTGCGCCTTTGGGAGGCTGAGGGTTCGAGACCCACCTGGGCAACTTGGCAAGACCTCATCTCTACAATAAATCAAAAAATCAGCTGGGCGTGGTAGCGCGTGCCTATAGTTCCAGCTACTTGGAAGGCTGAGGCAGAAGGATCGCTGGAGCCCAGCAGGTCAAGGCTGGGTGGCGGCCACTGCACTCCAGTCTGGGTGACAGAGTAAGACTCCACCTCAAACAAAATAAAAATAAAAATTTAGAAAACTAGAGTTTTTAAAAATTAAAATGTTGGGCCAGGCATGATGGCTCAAATTAAAATGTTTGGCCAGGCATGATGGCTCAAACCTGTAATCCCAGCACTTTGTGAGGTCAAGGCAAAAGGACTGCCTGAGCCCAGGGGTTCAAGACCAGCCTGGGTAACTTGGCAAGATCTCGTCTCTACAATAAATCAAAAAAATTAACCGGATGCGGTAGTGCACACCTGTAGTTCCAGTTACTCAGAAGGCTGAGGAAGAAGGATCACCTGAGTCCAGCAGGTCAATGCTGGGGTGGCCATGAGCATTCCACTGCACTCCAGCCTGGGCAACAGAATGAGTCTCCATCCAACTCAAAAAAGAAAAAAAATTAAAACGTTGAATTAAACTGTTAATAGTGGTAATGAGAAGCCCAACAGAAAGGCTGGAAGACAAAAGTGAAAAAATTTCCCAAAAAGGAGGACAAAAAAGAAACAGAATATAGCAGAGGAAAGAAATGAAGAAGTATCATCTGAAAAACAAGTTTTAAAAAGAAAGTATTTGTGTTTGGGGAGGCAGTTTAGGAAGAAACGGGAGAAATACTTTTAAAATCCACACAAAAATGACTTCTAACCAGAAATTCTATTCACAGCCAAAGAGCAATATAGTGTAATGACAAAATAAACAATAGTTTTCCTTGACAGTCTATCTCTTCACTGTCATTACAGGTGGCTTCTACAGACGGAGGCAATACCCATGGGTTGCTCATTATTGACAGAAAGATCAAGATTTGTTTCAGGAGCACCAAGTCTAGAGTTCATCTGCTTTCTGTGGCCCATCTGTCCCTGGCCTAAGGCTCTAGTCACAGATCAGGGATATCTACTCCTGAAATAAACTCCTACCCCCTAGGTCAGCTCCTCACCTCAAAGGAGCTGCCATGATCCTCTGAAGTCAGGGCTGGAGATTTCTGGGGGGAGGTCCAATGAGCTGGCATGGCCAAGTAGGTCTCAACCCTTTTTCTCTCAGGAGCCTGAAGCTTAGCAGTTATCTATGAACTCAAGGAGAGCTGCTGGGAAGAGGTGGGCTGCAGTCTGGAGGAAGATCTGGTCCAAGAGCTCTCCAGAGACACCAAGAAACCTGGAAAAGCAATGTCCACACTGTAAGACATTCAACATTCACCACATAAAAACTTCCTGGATATACCAACATGCAGGTCCCTGAGCTAGAAATCAGAGTAGTGGTTTTGAACTTGTTAAAATTCTCTGCCTCATCCCCTTCAAGTAGGTCTGCTTCATGTAGCCCAAGGATTTTCTTTTCCAACAAGTGCCCAGGAAAGGCTGATACTGTTGATCTATGTATGAACTACACTTTCAAAACTGTGGAGATCAATGCTGTGGAGATTATAAAATTTAACAATATCTGCAATAGGTATTAGTTGTGGTGAAATATGAAAAAACCATGAGACTTAGAGTAACACCTGTATAGATTTGAACTGAAGCCCTGCCACCTTTCACCTATGAGAATATAAGGAAGTTACTTCTGTTTTAGTTTCAGAAATGATAAAAATGCCTATGTCATATTCAAGAAAATTAATGAGATAATGCTTGTAAAGCACTCAACACTCCCTGGCACATGAGAATAATGCAATAAATATCAACTATTACCATGCACTATCAGGTACTAAAGTTTAATATTTTAAAAAGGTAATCAGAACGAGTAAAACAATAACAATATCAAACAATATTGAGCTATATATGTGACAAAAGGCACTAATTGCATAAATGGTGCTAATATGACTGGCTATATACCTGGAACAAAACAAACTAGATCTGTATCACACACTATTCAGTATTCCAACAGAACCAAACATTTAAATATATGTATCTTAAATCCAAAAGAATATTAAAATAACTTTTAGGATTACGTATTTGTATAATACTACGGCAGGGTGGGAGGGGTATTTTTACAAAAGACAGGAAATATAGAATCTTTAACAGAAGAGATATTCTGATTACATGCTATTTCCTAATTATATATTAAAACACACCATAATGCTTGAAATAAAGATACATATTTTTTCAATATATGATGATAGGTTGCTTCTAATCATGAAAACTTAACTAAGAAAAAACTGAAAAAAGGAATGACACATCACAGAAAAGGGAACAAATGGCAACTAGCTAAAAAGATGCCAACTTTACTAACAGAAATACACATTAGAACAATTAGATATAACTTTCCCTCAGAATCATAAAACTTTTAAAAAGCTGTAATATCCGCTGCTGAAAGCATTGGGGAAATGATTGTTTAAATGAATTATTGGTTGAAACTTCAATTGCTACAATATCTTTTGAGCTATTTAGTCATATCTATTATTAAAAATACACACAACTGTTTCTAATAATATACTTTCAACATATAAACCATAAACTGACAGAAGAAAGGACAAGTGGACAGTGTGAGTAGTTTACTTTCTCAGAAAAGGAATCTGAAAGAAGATATATATATGCTTAATATCTATAACAATTCACATAGAGAACATACATAGTTTTAATGTAATAGATGTGACATTTATGAAAACTGACCAAGAACCTAAGCCATAAAGCAATTTGTCAACTTAAGCATTATCCACAGACATTATTTGAAACAAAATGCACTTCTAAATAACTCATAGGTTAAAAAAAAAGTTTAAAAAAAGCCACTTTGATTTACACAATAAAGAAAATGCAACCCATCAAAGCTTGTGTTTCTTTTATGTTAAAGGCTGAAATTTAAAGAGCTGAACTCTCATCTCAGGTTAGAAAGCAAGCTGATCACAGTCTTCACCAATCACCATATCTAACCCTAAAGACCCTCAGTTGCTGACCCATTATTGACCCCCAAAACCCAGTCACTCATCTCAGAGTGCCCCATTATTGCCCAGAAAAAACCCTATTACATTACAGATAACCCTCAACGGGTGCCACAGACTCCTCCCTCACCCCATCACCGAACCCTAAAATCTCCATAACTGAAACCACGAGCAGCTCCCCTACTATTGACTTCACAGAATCCCTAATCGCGACCAACCCAAATCATCACAGAGTCCTCTCGGCATTAGATTATAAAAACACTCCGAACACCAGCGGCGTAAAAAACCCTTGGAGGACCACTTCCACTTCCGGCCTGACTTTTAGCACCTCCCCCTATGAACGGTGGATACTGCGCATGCTCTGAATTAACTTGGAAGCGGGTTCAGACAACAGTCAACAGGGCGCAGACATCATTAGCGACAACGGCAGTTTCCGTAAGTGGCGCTAACTGGCAGAGAACATGGCGGTGCAGGGTTCAGACAACAGTCAACAGGGCGCAGACATCATTAGCGACAACGGCAGTTTCCGTAAGTGGCGCTAACTGGCAGAGAACATGGCCGCGCACACGTGGGCCGCCATCTTGAAAGTGTATCCTTCCGTACAGGGGAAGATTGGGCCTCCCGCCGGGTTTCGTAGTAAGAAACAGGGATTGACATATAGAATGCAGCTGTGTGACCCTCGCCTGACAAGTCTTCTATTTAGGAGGAAGTTAATGAAGATGGGGATCTGGAGCTCTATGTTATATTTAGAAAAGCTAAATTACCTCTCTAAATAAAGCACACTGTGAAGAACAATTAACAGCCTGGAGAAACCACCAGGAAACAGGGAAGCCAGGAATCCTGAGATAAACTACAGGCAGACGAGGGAAGAAATCAGGATGGGTCACCAACCGCTCAGGGAGAGGGTGGACAGGTCAAGGTCAGAGTTTGCTCCTGGGTGAAATCACCAGGCAAGGCAATGAGACGTCATAATGGGTGGTATCCAGCAGGAAGGGTGGTACAACTTTTTCTTTCTTTTTTGAGTTGGAGTCTCACTCTGTCGCCCAGGTTGGAGTGCAGTGGCACGTCCTCGGCCACCTCAGTGTCGACCTGCAGGGCTCCGGCGATTTTCCCGCCTTGGCCTTCCAAGTAGCTGGAACTACAGGCGCGGGCTACCACGCCTGGTTAATATTTTGATTTATTGTAGAGATTAGGTCTCACCAAGTTGACTGGGCTGTTCTCGAACCTGTGGGCTCGGGCGGTGGTACAATTTTTAATGGTTGAAACCACACTGGGAAATGGGGTAAAAGTTGGGTCAGTACAATCCTCTCCTAGAAGATAGCAAAGGAAAAGGGAGTAGAAATCTAGGTACAGTTACAATACGCACAAACAAGAAATTATAGTCTTTAATGTGCGACTAAAAACACCTAAAGAAAACTTTGCTATTTTTACTTACCCTGAAATTAAGATATAATAACAATGTCTTTACTGTGTCAGTGAAGTCTTATGTTCAGTCTCTGACACTTCCCTTACCTTCTTCTATATGGAAATTCTGAAACAGCTAATACTCCTGTTTTCAAAAAGATGCCACACTGTAAAATATTTTAAGATGGTTTATTCTGGCTAAATATGAGTGACCAGGCCCATGGCATTCGTGTGCCTGTCATGGTTGAATTGTAGCTTGGTTATATGCAATTCAGGAAGACAGAAGCTACAAGAAACCATAGATTAATACATGTGAGATTTATACAGGTTTGGTCTATGTAGTCAGAGACTGTAGGCAATAGGCGAATTCAAAAACTTTCTGACAGCTAGTCAGCATGGAATTATCTAACAATAAGGGAGCACATTTCTTAATATGTATATGATGCTTTAAGGGTGGTGGCAGACTTTAGAGAAGCAGGCAATTGTCTTAAAAGATGCTGGTGTCCCCAAAAGACAGCTTTGCAGGGTCAAAATATACTTCGTTTTCCTTTTTTTCTGCCAGAGCCAGGTTGGAGAGTAAATTACAATAAAAGTTAGGAATTTGGCAAGGTAAAGAAAAAAGGTCAAAGTTTGGTCATCAATCCCTTACCCACCTGTTTGGGGGAGTTTGGGTGGGAAGCTGTAAAGCTACAATTATTTTCACCTGGTGAACTCCTAAACATTCTTCACAACCCAGCTTCTACTAGGAAGTTCTGCTTGACAGTGGTGGGAGGTCCTATGCACTACTGAAAATGCTCTGTCCCAACAGATGTGGAACTTGTTTTGAAGGAATTGGACCTACACTCTGATGTGGGCATGCTGGATATCCTAGCTTCGTGCCAGTTATACCCCTCCCTGGGATTCAGCTTAAATATCGAGCCAGTTGGAGAGTTGGACTCTGTTCATCCCAAGTTCTTTTTCCTCCCAAAATATGGTCTAAGGAAATATCCGCGGAAGCCCATTAGTGAACACACATTTCTACCAGAGGTCTAAGAACTACTGTTATTTATTTTTGGTAATATGTTTCTATTAAAGAAAAGATGACTTATCTTTTAGAGAGGCATGTGGAAATGACATTAGCTTTAAAAACTCCATTGTGGAGGGGTGCATTGCTGAAACAAGAATAACGGGATGTTGATACAATTTTGAAGAAATTTTTGGATAAATGGAGTTTATTATGATGTTCTCTCTTCTTTAGCATTGATGCTGGGTAGTGGGGGGGAGTATAGATGTTTTGTGAGATTTTTACTTTGTCACAAAAAAGAATTTTAGAATGAGTCTGGGTAGGAGTTTAAGATAGGATTAGGAGGGAAAAGGAAATATGTCCAAGAGAGGATATAATTGTTTTAAGAGAAAAAGTACAGGGAATTGTTAGTTGAATGTCTTATATTCTTTAAAATGAGGATTAAGTAATCTTATAAAACAAGCAAAAAAATCTCTGGGTAAAAAAAATCTATGTGTTTTGTGGAGGAATGTGGTGGGTTACAACCTATTGATCACAAGGTTTTTTTAAATCTTTTTTTTCTAAGTTGACTTCTAAGCTTACTTGTGTCACATGAAATTGTTGAAATAATGGTAAAAGTAACTGTCTTACCGTTTGATTAAGTTGCTTTTGGACACAGCATGTTCCAGTGTCTCCAATAATTATTTCTATCTTGTTTATGGCTTTGGTAGTTGAGTGTATCAGCTGCCCTGTATTCCAGGGGGTGGGTCTGGGGATTTCAGTAGTTGGGTGTATTTGTCATCCTGTATTTTGGGGCAGGGAGTCTAATCAGTATAGGTATTGTTTCAGAAAGTTATGCTCTGATAAGTCAGTATCTTGGTGTCTATCATGTTTTTCAATTACTAAAGCTATATCTGTCTGTAAAAAAAAAAACAAAACTCATCTATCTATTCTAAGTTATGCTAGCTGTCCTGCCTCAGTATTTGTGTGAAAATTTCATTGTAAAGATTTAATGTGGAAACAAATTTTAAAACATTTACAAGGAAGTATTGTGAAGAAGATAGGTGTGGTGATAGTGTAACTTGGTATCTCAACCTTAAAATACATTTTAAAGTTTTTTTCTCTCTCTTCTTAAAGTATAGACTTGAAATATGACTAAAAGGTTTTTTTCTTCTCCCTTTTTCGCAAAACACTTTCTTGCACCATTATCTACCCATGTGTTTATTTAGAGATTCCAGGGGTTATTCCAGGGGTTATCCCAGAAACAAACCAAGCATGAAGGCCTAGATGTGAAGCTCTCTATCCTAACTGGAGATTACCTTCAGGCTATGAATCTGTCATCCAGCTGTAGCCAAGACAGTGCTGGCTGGAACTCCAGACAGACAATAGCTCAAGATAATCACCTAAGCAAGATCTGTACCCTGCATGCCTCCTACATACTACCCATACCCACTTTCCCTGTACCCTGCATGCCTCCTATACACTCCCCATACCCAGGACACACATATAAGGATATTTATGTCACCACGTGGTTGAAAAGAGAAAAACCTGAATACAACCCAAATGCCCATCAACATGTAAAATGAATGAGTACTAGCAACATGGAACAGCATGAATATTACACTGGATTGAATTATGTCCCCCCAAAATTCATATCTATGCAAAAAAATATAGAATGTGACCTTATTGGGAAATAGGATCTTTGCAGAAAAGAAATAATCAACAGAGTAAATAGTAAATAATCTCCAGAATGGAAAAAAAAAATCATTAACTATGCATCTGAAAAAAAAACTAATTACCAGAATCTTCAAGGAACTCAAATGAATATACGGGGGGGGGGGGGGGGGAACCAACAACAACAAATAACCCCATTAAAATGTGGGCAAAGGACATGAACAGACACTTTTCGAAAGAAGATATATAAGCGGCAAATAAACATATGAAAGATGTTCAACATCACTAATAATCAGAGAAATGCATATCAAAACTAAAATGAGATACCATCTCAGACCAGTCAGAATAGTTATTATTAAGAAATCAAAAAACAGCAAATGTTGGCCAGGCTGCAGAGAAAATGGAATGTTTGTACACTGTTGGTGGGACTTAAACTAGTCCAGCACCTATGGAAAGCACTGTGGAGATTTCTCAAAGAACTAAAAATGCATCTACTATTCAACCCAGAAAACTTACTACTGGGTATATACCCAAAGAACCATAAATTGTTCTACTGAAAGGACACCTACACTTATATATTTATTGCAGCACTATTCACAATAAGAAAAACATGGAACCAACCTGGGTGCCCATCAGTGTTTGACTGGATAAAGAAAATGCGATAATGCTTAGGAAAAGGAATATATACATATACCATAGAATGCTACGCAACCATAAAAAAGAACGAAATAATGTCATTTGCAGCAACATGGATGTAGCTGCAGGCCATTACTCTAAGCAAATTATCACAGAAACAGTAAACTGAATGCCACATGTTCTCATTCTAAGTGGGTCTAAACGCTGGACACACATGGGTGCAAGGATGGTAACAACAAACACTGGAGACTTATTAAAGGGCAGACGGGAGGAAGGAGAATATGGGCTGCAAAACCACCCATTCGGTACACCATGTTTGCCACTGACGGGGACAGGTTCATCAGAAGTCATCAAGCAATATACCTATGTAACAAACCTGCACACATAACCCTTGATTCTAAAACAAAATAAAATAAATTTTAAAAATATATCTCTCACAAACAAAAGATAACTAAAGAAGTCAAACTCTTTTTTTATTTCATGTATTTAGGTTTTTGAGTAACGGTCTTATTCTGTAGCGAGATTGGAATGCAGTGGATTGTTGAGAGAGAAACGCAAGAAGGCCTGTACCCAACTTCATGCCTATAATCCCAGAACTTTGGGAGGCTGAGGCAGGAGAATTTCTTGAGGCCA